TCGTGGAAGACATCAAAGCGATCGACAATTTGACGATGGAATCTTCGGAGTATTTCGTCGGAATGTGCGACCAGTCGACGTTGGAAGAGTGGCGTTTCTGCTCGACGAGTTTGGCGCAAAAGCGCAAGTACAAGTGCAGGTTCAAGTTGAAGCGAGGCGTTTACCAGTCGAGGGTCCATCGGCGGTTCTGCGACATCAAGATCATGCTGGAGAACAAAGATTGCGCCTGCGGGACCACCATGAGCGGCGAAAAGATGTTGAAAGTTAGAGGTTGTGAGCGTTGCCCATCGAGTTATAACTCTTATATCGGTTATGTGTTTATAACCCGTAGGTTTCCCGACGTGCTACATACCGGACTTGAAGTACTCGTTGTGCGAGTACAACGTCTGCGGTCTATCCAAGTGCTCGTGTTTGCCGAAAAATAATTTATACACCGTCGAATGCGATCCGGACTGCTTCGCAGGAAATCCGGTGAGCGAACAAACGTACACAACCGCACGTTGAATAGAAAAAAAAAACGAAGCGAAACACAACGAATTTGCATGCGCGATAATGTTGTTGTTGTTTGGGCGAAGTTGTCGAGGTAATTTTTCGTTTTCCAGTTCTGCGAGGGAGCTTTGTACAGGACGTCCAGACCGCCGGAAATTCGCTCGGCTTGGTCGAAATGGAGCGGCCCAGGATTCTTCGGTGAATCACCGATGGAAACGGGCGGCAAAAACGCGCACCGTTCGGTCGCCACTTGCATAAATAAGTACACGTTAGTGCCGTTTGCTACACACATGTACGGTCGATAAGGAGATTTGTGGGTGCATTTACTTCCCTATACCATTGCCGGTGGTTTTTTTATTTCGCAAACGGCGTGGTAATTTATGTAGTTTTCGGGGAAGATTTTTCTGTCAACTTCTTCTCTTTAACGATACGCCACTGTTGCAATTTACGATTATACATGAGTTTGTGGTTTTTGGCTGTTTGATTGTTCGTTTTCTGTTCCAGGGGAAAACCGGACTTGGACTGTTTGGGTCCCGGCACCGGTTGGTAAGTTAGTGAAAACATACTTTATAAAAACCTAATAGATTACTAGTGAATTAACAAGTTTATACCAAACTCTCCACTACAACACATGAATAATCTACACTATCCTAAAATAATAATTCTACATCATATACACCTCTCTAAATAATTACTGCTCCCCGCATAATATTTATTAAAATCATAGCTGCCCGGATAATATTAAAAACTGCACCTGTAACGTTTACGAAAACAACGGCGTCCTTAAAGTAGTGAGAAATATACCTATACACGAAAGTAAGTTATTATATCATAATTTCTAATTAATACAGATCAATTAACAATTAGACAGAATCCCGTTTCGCCGGAAAAAGCCACTAAAACGCAACTACCGTTTCTCGAGAGGTAAATTACGCGATACCAATTTTAAAACCCACTAAACTAGATTTTAATAGATGTAGATGATGATATGGAAGACGACGAAGACGACGACAGCGATTTGGCCGAAGATATTGTGTTGGAGGAAGATGCCGAACCGGTTCCGATCGAAACCACTACTTTAATATGCGAGGTAAATTATTATTTTAATATACTCGTAGTAGAGGATTTTCATCATTTTAATTACTATACAGGCCTGCGATAGAGGCGAAATAAACGACGAGGTCAACAAAGATATGTCCGAGGAACGATTCAAAATATCGAGAAATAACACGCTGAGTAATTTAAGAAAAAGTAATGGAGTAATTTTAGATGCGTCTACTGTAGCTTTAGCCGTTTCGTTTCTGTCTAATACAATTTTATTTACCTGAATTACGCTGTTATTGTTATAATTGGGGTTCAATTTGGAGTTCAATTTACATGCAAATGATGGTTAATCAATTTTACTGACAACCAAATTCATTCGTCTTCAGTAGAGAACCCTAACATATTCAACATAGATGCTACAAGTTTTAATTTTTTAATCAGAAGTCGGAGAAAAGTTGGAATTTGTGAATCAGAAGTGGGAATTAACTGGGAATTTTTGAATCAAAAGTGGTAAGTGGAAATTTCTGAATCAGAAGTGGGACAGGATCAAAACTGGGTATAAATCAGAAGTGGGACAACCGTAGAAATTTCCGAATCAGAAGTGGGACGCACGCATTCCGGCACGTTGATGACCGAAAACCAAAGCGAAAAAGCTTGATAAAGGATCCGGTGTGTGTGTGCACGCACCTCCGTTCCCTCCGCAACGCAAAGACCTTAAAAGTTAATAGAAAAACGAGCGCAAAACTGCCCTCGGGCGCCTTCCTCTCCGGTCCTTTTGAGCGAACGATATGTACGTCTGTTTGACTTTTCGTTTGCTATCTGCCCACGACATCGCTGGCAATGCGAATATTATCGGACGGTCGTGGAAATGAAAGAAAACTTAATAGATTTTTTAGCGACGTTGTCACACAGGAATTGTTGCTATCCCAATACTTGTAATTTATTAAGTAAATGGAGCGTTCAAAATGCAATGTATGAGCAAAATATATGTATTTTGCTGCACTTACTTGGTTGTAATATATGTATGTATTTGCGATACATCGAACACAAATCAGAAACGTCGGTAGCAGGCGTCAGCAGGAGTTATTACAGTATTATAGTCTGGGGGAATTTTTTTTACTACTTAGCTTTATATTAATCCTGCTTAAAAACCGCGAGGTTGCCACGGTTTAATTGTTTGATAGTTAATAAAAATGCAAGTAGAGAGTAATAATTTTTTGCGCTTTACGTAGAAGGGAATTGTTCCCGGAGTTTCCGGACTATTTCGTTTAAATCTCGCACTTGGGCGAAATGTGCACAGCGTATATGCACACACGATTCAAATGTACGGAACTTTCAATAGGGCCATAAAATTACAGCTCTCTCTCGCGCGACGAAATGACTGTTGTATATTTTTTTCGTTTTTTTTGGCTCGATTTTCGTTCGACTTTTCTTGGGCGTCAATGCGAAAAATAACCGATCGCGACATAGCCGGGGCGTTTTGATTTCGAACGATGCGAAGTTTAATTAGCCCTTCGAATTGGAAACGGCGAAATCGTGGAAATTAAACGGCAGATAAACTGAGCAATTCTAATATACCCCGCTTTATAAATTGCGAGTTTTTCAATTAGGCGAAAACACCCCGGATCACATTCTAATTAGCGCGGCATTAGGGCCGCATTATCAGATTATTAAAAAGGATGCTCTCTCGGTTTAATGAAATCGGAGATCATTCGAAAAGTTCCGATGGGATTTTAATAAAGGCGTGATTTATTCATTTGCTCCTGCCGGCCCCAGAAACTTTCCGCGATGAATCCGGGCATTAATTAGTCAGTATCCCACTTCTGATCCATCCCCCCCCTCCAGAAAATCCCACTCCTGATTCCGGATTTTTCCGTCGAATCCTCGTACTCATGCTAATATTGACGCACCGGTTTTATGTTTTATACCCGACGAACTTCATCCGTCTTTTTGTCCCAACTTCATGTCTATTAAATTCGACTAAATGAAAGTCTTCCATTCCCGAGTCTCGATCGAGGAATAGGATAGGATAGGAAGCAATATCGGCTGGGGTAGCAGCGGCGTAGGCTCCAATACACCCTTATATACCGCTCGAACTTCATCTTAGAGCGGAGAGACGACCGTGGAATTAATCCGGAGGATATCTAAAATCTAAACAAAAAAAATTCTGCTTCGGTTATTACGCTGTATCATTCCGAGGTATAGTTGATTGGAGAAAAGTTCCCTATCTTAATCCAAATGCAAGATTTGCTACGTTTTGTATTCTTTATAGGTGGTTTTTGGTTAAGAAAAATTGCCCAGAGTGAAGATGAATCAGCGAGTCAGTCGGTTTATAGTTTATAGTTCGATTTTTCGATCGATTGTGTGGGCGGTTTCACGGAAGATATACGAGGCTTTTAAGAGCACGTATACACTTGTTTTCCGGTTGTTTTCCTTTTACTTCTCTCGGATTTATAACCGCCTTTTAACGTCCATTACGAAACTGGAGACACATAAAAGGCAAGTTTAGTAAAAATAAAATTAAATAAAAAAAAATAGCAGGGTATCATCGGAGGCTCGATTTGCTCGCCCTTGACCCGATTCCGAGCCGGCAACCCTACGAGATAATCCCCGGTGAGCGAAACGTATTATTCGAGGTGGCCTCTTACCGTCGAGGGATAACGGCAGGTGCCCCCTATCCCTCCCCCGGCGTTGGTGCGGGGGAGGAAAGTAAATTAGCGGGAGCGTGGAGGTCTCGCATATGGAGTGAGAAGCCGTTCGAAGAGTTTAATTAGGCGGAAAGTGCAGATAGCGTGCGTGGATTCGGGATTCGGGCACTCGAGGCAATGTTGCCTCCAATTCCCCAAATCCCCTTTTATTCGAGCGCGCGTTATTGTTGTTAAATAATGATCATATTTCGCATAATCTAATATACATTTGTGTCGGGAGAGTGAAGGAAAAAAATGCGAAGTGGCAACGTTGCTATATTTTCGGTTTATTTAAATTGAATGTATTAAGAGGTGTTTTTGAAAAAAAAATTATTAAAACCAATATTGTTAAATTTTTCTAGAATTTAAAAGTAAGAAAATAATAACCAAAGTTATTATTAACCAAATTAAAAATATTAATATTTCTAATAATAAAATAGAACATTTTATTGAGATTTTTCACCACCTTTTGCTCCCTTTTTGAATCATCACTTTCTATGTAAAAGAAAACTTGCACTGAGAAAATCCATTTTCCAGGCAACTGTATATTCGCCCGGAAAAACCGATCGAAGAAAATAGGAAAATTATACTACTTCGCAAACCAACGAATAGAGGGCGCTCACTGTTACAAATTTTCAAATTCTATTACCTACATCCAAAAACTACGATCGTTTGTATACACAATAAAATTAATTAATTTTTTATGCAAGCTTATGGCATATCAAGATTAATTTAGAGATGACTTCAGCGAGTAGTTTTATTAAATAAACTATACGTTATCAAATACGATAAGTATATTAACTAAATAGCATCTAAAACTGGAGATATTTAGGTAATAAAAGCATCGGATGGGTTAATGTAAATCCTGTTAATTATCGTTTCTCGGTATACTCTCCCAATTAAGGGAGACCCTCTATTAATTCGGGGAGTTTTTGCGAATCGACGTCACCTCAAAGAGACTCTCCCTTAATGAACGTAATAAGGGGTTCCGACGACGCCACATGGTTCCCGACAGTGTATACTAACCGGGCGACGTCAATTAGTCCTACTTTATCCGGGAAAATGGCCCGAATTCGTAATTTACAGACCCGTATATTTCGCCGTATTTAACGCAGGTATTCGCTATAAATTTTTTGGGAGATCCTCCCCGGGGCGATACTGTCTTTTGAAGGCGCACAACCGACCCGATTCCTTATACAACTTTAACGACTCCACCTCGTTTTACCCGATGTATTTGTATACAGCCATTCGCACAATTAAAAATATACATAAAAAAAAATCGGTAACTAATACGGACTGTCCACTAAATTACGGTTCTCGTTCCGTTTGACGTCCTTCAACGACACGCCGTCCCCGAACGGTATCCACCTCGGCGAAACCTCCCCGGTGCTGGAAATCGCGGATCCTCCGGGGAAGAACGCGGGCCTCTCGAATTCCAGCGACACCAGCGGATCGATCCTCCTCTTCGACCATCTCTTCCCCCAACCGGCCGGAACCTCCGGCGGCGGTTCCGAAGACGTGGGCACCCCCGGATTGGCGAAACGCAGGTTCTTCGCCACCTCCTTGTACCGCCCGCATTGGCAATATTCCATTAAATCGTACTGACTAAAGTATGAATTGATATAGCGAAAAATGTTTGTGTATAAATATATGTTTAATATAATGACATTTAGATGATGTAGAACTGATTATAATAAGTCAGAATGATTGAGGATGTGTTAGAATTGTTCAGAACAGCTTAGAGCGCTTCATCAGGATGAATTAGAATCATTCAGGAATTCTAGATGTATAAGAAGTGTTCAGAATAGCTTAGAGCGCTTCAGGATGAATTAGAACCATTCAGAATGAATTAAAACCATTCAAGATGAATTAGAACCATTTAGGATGAATTAGAACCATTTAGCATGAATTAGAATTGCCCAGAAGAATTAAGATTGTTTTAGGATAAATTTGAATCGTCCAAAACGATTTAGAACGCCTCCAGGATCATTTAAAACTGTCCAAACAATAATCCAATAGAGGAAAAATAAATTGGCTGGACGATTTGCTAGTATATAAGAAATCTAGGAAATATAGAAGCAAAACTTTCCCGTTTTTGGTGTACTAATACAGGAAATTCCTAAGGTATTCCACAAAAAAATCGGCCGTAATTAGGTTCAAAACGCTGACTAAAGTATGAATTGATATAGCGAAAAATGTTTGTGTAGAAATGTGTTTAATATATTGACATTTAGATGATGTAGAACTGATTATAACAAGTCAGAATGATTGAGGATGTATTAGAAGTGTTCAGAATAGCTTAGAGCGCTTCAGGATGAATTAGAACCATTCAGAATGAATTAAAACCATTCAAGATGAATTAGAACCATTTAGGATGAATTAGAACCATTTAGCATGAATTAGAATTGCCCAAAAGAATTAAGAATGTTTTAGGAAAAATTTGAATCGTCCAAAACGATTTAGAACACCTCCAGGATCATTTAAAACTGTCCAAACAATAATCTAATAGAGGAAAAATAAATTGGCTGGACGATTTGCTAGTATATAAGAAATCTAGGAAATATAGAAGCAAAACTTTCCCGTTTTTGGTGTACCAATACAGGAAATTCCTAAGGTATTCCACATAAAAAATCGGCCGTAATTAGAATCAAAACGCACTCGCATACTCGAAATAACCGAAATTCCTCGGCGGTCGCCCGAAATGACAAAGCTTCCAATCGACCAAACACCCGCAACAACGCCAAAATCGACGATTCCTCGCCTCGTTTCGCGAATCGAAATCGCAAATGGTCCAAAACACCAGCCGGGTCGGGGCAGCGGCTCCGAGCCCGAGGAGGCCGCTCCGCCGCGGAGGGTCATCAATCAGAAAGGGATTACCGTTAGACTGTTATTAAGAACGTTTACCGCCCACCGGCGGAGGTCGAACCGCCGTCTCCGCGATGCCCCGCACTCGGAAATATGGCGGTCGCGTCTCCTTCGCTCTCTTATCGCGACGCGAATTGGAAGATACGGACGTTCCTCATGGGCGTCCACGACGATTCTTATCGTACGATTTATAAGCGGGGATTATTTTAATGGTAAACGACCACATCGATTGGATGCAAGATGATGAAGTTGATGATTGTAGTTTGGAAGATGCAGTAAGTGTTAACAATTAGTAGATGAAGATAAAGGAATGAATAATCGCAATGTGTAAAGTCTACTATCTGCTTCTTCTTCTTCTTCTTTCATCACATTTAGCACTCTTAATCCTTATCTTGCTTTTGTTGCTTCTGTTTCTTTAAAAAATCCTTCTGCTTCAGCATCTTCATTTCGTTTGATCTATTCAATACCATCCATATTCTCCTATGTGCACTTCTTCCATCATTCATTCCCATCAAGTAGTCATACCAATTCAACCATTTTCATCGATATTAGTGAATATTTTGTAGCTTATCTTATTTCATTATTCCTTATTCTGGTCCATGTTATTTCTCCTATACTATTCTTGTTAGATGCATCATCACCATTGCATTAATTTTTGGCTCATGTTCCAGTTTTTATGGGCCGTATACTGTAATGTATACAGCGAAAACTTCATTTTCAATTGGGAATATTGGCGCGAGATACGTCGCTGTGCTCTCATCTCGACTATGAGGAGAAACGTTCCGGTTTTAAGCGCTTCTTTTTTCTTCCGGAGCTCGGTTTCTGCGCTGACAACCCCTCTACACAGCCTAATACCTATTTAATGAACACATCATATCATCCTCTCGCAACGCTGATAGCCGGCCATTATCCCGTCGCCGAGTAAAATATTATTTGAAATTTATAACCCGCTGCATTTCATACTCCTAGACGATTTTTGTACAATTTCTCTCTTTGAAAATCGCCAGTTAAATCGACGAGTGACTGCTGGGAGACTTCTCGAGAGGGTGGAATCTTAGGTAGCAGCGCCACTGGATGTTGTTGGATGATACACTCGCCAATCCGGGTGTACTAATACTGTCTCTTCTACCGTCGAGACGTTCCACTTCCCGGTGCATGCAGCGCTCGTAAAACACGGTTCGGAATACAAATTTTATTTGGTCCAATTTGTAATGAGGGTTGTAAATTTTCGAGTGGCGCGTCGTTTTTCTTGTTGCTGCTTTTTTCTTGTTGGGTTTTATTGCCGGTCCACTTCGCGTATACGCCATGATTTCCCGGCCCTTTGGTGGCCGATTCTTGTACTTTTTACCTCGGCTTGTCCGGGCAATTGTACGTCCTGAGATATCGAAGGGGATTTATTCCGGGTTATTATATTGCATAGGGAATATGTAAGAGGAGTATTTATAGCTTTTTTCGCGAGTGTTTCGGGTAAATTATGCATTTGGCTGTCGGACAGAAACGGGGTGAACGCACCCCGTTCGATTCGGGGTCTCTTGCCAAATGCGGAATATCTGGAAAACTAAAAACTATCGTCGGATTTAATGGTATATTTATGTGCACGTTACACGACGTATCGTCGCGAATTTTAAGTGAATTGCTACGATATACGGATATGATTTTGCTATGCTAAAGTAATCGAAATAATCGATCAATTCAACGGGCTTTTCGATACAAAACATCACCGCAAGGAATCGATAATCCTGCATCGACACCATTCAATTAATATTGGTCTCGTCAACGTTGTCACTTCATATTTTTCAGTTCCCTTAACCAAATCATTAATTTTAATATTAACGGACGGCCGGCTGACGCCATATTGCAGATAGATGTGATAAACGAGCCGGAAGAAAAACACACTGATAACTAATAGATATTTGCCCTAGCGATTGGTGGCGATGGCTAAAATCAAGTATGCACTTTCGGGGACAAAAAGTGGAATTAAATTTTGTTCGTTTTTCAAAAAAAAATAACCGACTTTAATCCCCCTCTCTGCTTCTTGGTAAATATGATAAACGACCGACGTTATTCAGACGCTTTCCTTTTTATTCCTAATTCCCTGTGAGAAGCGCCTTTCACTTTAGCCTCTAAAATTCCATCTCGCGTCTTAATAACGAATCATGACCCAACGACACCTTGAAAAATGCCTTAATTTTCCGAATAATACCAAAAAAAAACCTCAGATATATCAAATTATCAACTTTAATAACGCCCAAAAAATATGGAAATTCGCGAGAGAGAAAAAACGCGATAATTTCAATCCTTAATCCTAGCGCAATTCGAAGAGAAATAAAGTTTAACTTTCTCGTATACGAAATATACACACCCCTTTAAGTGTATACGCCGGGCGTCGAGACAACGAACTCCTTTTAATTCGTGAATAAGCCCGAAGATTTGCTTACTTAAACCGAGTTTCCAAATACTTTGGTGAATAATGCAAAGGTGGTTACCGTTCCGAGACAAAGCCGGAAGCCCTCTCGTCTCCCCTCGCCCCTGCGAGATTCAAATGAAACTGTACTCGAATGGATTATTTAAACGAAAACTGCGCTCCGAGCAAAAATACCAAACGGAGTTACCTCGCCATTCGCGACGTCCGTTTCTGCGTTACCCCGCGCGTGAACTCGCTCTACGCGATTCGGCTTCCCAGCAACCTGTCAAGGTCCTTTCACCTGTTTTGTTTGTAGTTACGGGTCATAGTTACCTGTGTTTGCAGTCTTCACCTGCCGTTTGATCAAAGAATATTCTCGAAAACTGCGCTCTTAACACCTTAATTTCACGAAAATGTTAGTGAACTCTACGTTTAAAAAGGTTGGTTAATTTGATTGTTTTTAGTAGGCACGGATTTAAATTATTTCTTATAAGTAACTGTCAACTGTCAATTAGTTGTCATTTATTTATACTTGGGTGCTTTGTTCCTGGCCTTTTGCCTAATAGTAATACAGTAATTTTGTCTATAATAAAATTGTTAAATATTCATTAAATTCAATAAAACTCAATAAAACTGATAATCATTAAAATAGTTAAAAAATAAACAAGCGATAAAAGTAGAATTTTTATTATTATTGATTTAATTTTTGGGCTAAATAAACTAGAATTTGTGAAGCCTTCCCTACAATTATCTACCGAATATAAATTATAAAATAAATATTTTTTTAGATACACGAATAGAAACAAAATTGGACCAATTCGACAATGAAGCAGGACAAATACTCCTATCTAAAACCGTTCCAGGACGATGCAGATCAGAATCCTACCTCAGAAAATTTCATACGATTAGGCGACGCCTACATGCAGGTCCTCGAACCGGACGACGCTCTAAAAGCCTACGAAAGAGCCTTGGAAACCGATCCCAAGAACCTTCTACTGATCCATCTGATGGGCAAGGCTCTAATAAAAACCCACTACTTCAATCGAGCCGTAACGTTCTACAAAAATTCCATCAAAGAAAACGACGACGTCGAATTGAAGATCCAACTGTCCGAGTTGTATATGAACTTGAAGGAGTACCAAAAAGCCGAGTTGCTCCTGCTGGACGAGCTCCAGGAGAACGCTTTCGGCGAAGACGACGACTTGGCGTACCTGCGGAAGAAACTGCGACTGCAGAGCCTTTTGGCGCAAATACAGGAGAGGAGCGGGAATTTGATATACGCCATGAAGAGCCTAAAAGACGCCATGAAAACGCAAGATAGAATTAGAAAACGTTTAGCGGTGGAATTCGACGACGTAGAAGAGGAGAAGAACATCGTATTGGACGAGCTTTCGGTGAAGCTGGGCGAAATGGCTTTGATGACCAACAAAACCGACCAAGCGATTAATTTCTACAAAGAAGGGTTGGATATGATGCCGAATAACATCAACGTACTAGTCGCCTTGGCTAAAGCCTACATGCAAGTGAATAACCTCGATTTATGCCAGCAAACCTGCGCTCAAATTCTCAAACAAAACTCCACCAACGAAACCGCTTCTCTACTACTAGCAGAAATAGCTTTGAGGAAAGTAGATTTCGACATGGCGGGTTTCCATTTCATCCAATTAGTTACCAAACAACCCACCAATTGGCAAGCTCTAGCTCGATTGATAGACATTTTCAGACGCATGGGTATCATAGAAGATTCAGTGCAGTACCTCGATAACGCCAGTAAATGTTGCGATTCTAAAGACACTAAATTCCTCTACTGCACCGCCTTGTACCAAATGTACTCAGGCGATCTAAACGGAGCCCTGAGGAACTTCAACAACGCCAAACCCGATTCGAAGTTCGGTTTAAACGCCATTTATCACATGATCGACATTTGCTTGAATCCAGAAGAAGAAATGTTCGCGCAATTCATGGAAGGTGACGACACCGAATACAAAGATTCCAGAACAATGGCCATTAAAACTGCCGAAAGATTACTACGCGAGCTAAAAATCAGATTGGGTTCAAATGCTGAAGACGTGCTAAAATACAGACTGTTAGATAACTTCAGGTTGCTTTCTACAAGGGAAAAATTCAACATCGAACGAGCGCTGGACGATTTCTCCACCATCGGTACCCAAAGCGGTTCAAAAGACAACATCGGGACCATACTAGGCGTCGCTACCGCTTACACTCTACTAAACCAAGGCAAACGCGCTAAAACCCAATTGAAGCGCATCTCCACGTCTCCATGGTCCATCGAAAATTCCGAGTACCTGGAAAGATCCTGGCTACTCCTGGCCGATTACTACATACAAGCGTCCAAGTACGAACCGGCTGCGCAGCTGATCAAGAAGATCCTCCAGCACAACAAGTCCTGCGCCAAGGCGCACGAGTACTCCGGCTTCGTGTCCGAGAAGGAGCAGAAGCACCAGGAGGCCGCCCTCCACTACGAGGAAGCCTGGAAGCTGGGCAGGAAGACCAACCCGGCCATCGGCTACAAGCTGGCCTCGTGTCTGATGAAGTGCAAGAAGTACCCCAAGGCCATCGTCACCGCCCAGGAAGTGCTCAAAATCAACCCGGAGTACGATAAAATCCGGAAGGACATTCTGGAGAAGAGCTTGAACAATTTGAGAATTTGATTGTGATGTGTAATAGATGATTTTATAGATGAAGTTGTTAGTTTTGATGATCAATGTGGTGAAAATCCATTTCTGAAATTAAAAATTTTTGGTCGTGGTCCCCTCACCCATCAATTCTGCGTATAATATATGCTTCCGCAAACACTTAAACTAATAGCGTTTTCCGGGCATCTTTTTTAAAACCAGGACCCGGCAGGACCTTATTCGAAATTTCTTTGTTGGTGAATCGATTCCAAATTTTTTGCAGAAAATTTTGGAATGCTTATTTTAGAATGCATATTCATCGCAATAGGCAAGCTTGCTTGTTACTGAAAATCCTCAACACCTCGTTCTTTTCGAATTTTAGATAATTAGCAATTCCGTTTCTGGCGATTAATGCTAATTTTTAATTTCGCTGTGAAATAGGGGATATTTTAGACGGGCGAATGCGCCCCTGAAGGCCGACCGACCCGCATCGCTTTCCGCATCATCAAGCATACGTTTTATTTTCCCTCCGGTTCGCCGGTCCTGGCGGTCTACGTCCTTTTCTTTATTATCTTTCCTTCATCTTTCGATAAATTCGCTTAGGCAACCGGGCGCGATAGTTTATTTCTTTCGCGCGGCGCGCTCAAACACACACACATACACACACACACACATAAAAATTATTACGGCCCGAGACCAATTTTATCGGTATATCGGATCATTTACTTCCACCTATACCCGCCCGTAAAATGTTATACGACGGGGGAAAAGCCCGGATGCCCGTTAATGAAACAAAGTTCACGTTAATCTGGTTATGACGCCACAACTGGCTACTGATAAGTCTAATATACCCAATTTTAATCAAGTTATGATGTCACAAATAAATCTATGGATACAATGCGTTGAAGTATATAATGCTGTGACGTCAGGACGCGCTTATGGTTTTCTTCGTTTGGCCAATTCTCAGGTGTTTCGAGTTAAATCCGGGGCGCGCATTTGCATCAGCTAATCCGGCAGTTCCAGGTAATAATTTCGGAGTAAAAAAGGAGCGACGACCGAACGACAGAAGCCGTTATGCGGAAATGATTTCATTAAAATAATATAATTAAATGAAAAGTTCAGCCATTTCTCGGGGGCGACAACTTAGTTATAAAGTTGCTACTGTATTAATTTCCCCCGGAATATTTGTTAACATTTACGAAACGCGAGAAAGAAAAGGACGAACTGTTTAAGGGCTTTAATTTGTTAGTACGTGCGCTCTCGATGATTCCTCCAAAAACTACACAAAATCTCCTACTTAAACAACCAAGTTGACTCAATTTAAATCGCACCAGCTTCACCAGTAGGTACTCCAATCAATCAATCAGCAAGTATAGGATACAACAAACTCGAAAATCTAAAATTCCCCGACCAATTACCGCAGGAATCTCCACCCCTCCGACTAACACAACCGCCTCCAAAAGACTTATCATGAATGTATGTATGCCGGCGAAAGTTCACGACAAGTTATAATAATACCGCGCCGAGCATTATACTCTGCCGGCGCCGCGACCGCTCCTTCTTCTTCTTCTTCTTCGCCTCCGCGGCGCGCAAACTTGGCCGGACTTAATCCCCTTTTAGATAAGGCCGACTTCACACCGGCTCGGTGACGAGCTAAGCTATTGGATTATTCATAAGTTTGCAGCCCGATCCTTGGATACCAACTCCTAAGGAAATCCTCGGGGCGCGAGGAACGTGTAGCATTTCACCTTGTTGACTCGATAGGCCTGGAATCAATCTGTGCGGTTGTATTGACGGCAAAGGTTGGGGATAAATAAGCTGGTTAATACAGAATGAGGTTGATATTTGTGAAGGGTGAGTAGTTAAAAGGGGATTATAAATGGAATGTTGCTGGGGAGAAGTGTCCTGGAGAATTGTGTACTGTAAAAGAATGCACTGGAAAAGGAAATATTGAGATGCAAAAGATACAAAAGATCTACTGGAAGAGAGTGGAGAGTATACTGGAGAAAGATGAATCTACTGGAAGAAAGTATACTGGAGAAGATTGTACTAGATCAATATCAATTTAAGAGTGTAATGCAAAAAGGGGTACTGTAGAAGAATCTACTGGAGAAGAATGTACCGGAGAAGAAGGTACTGAAGAAGAATCTGTTGAAGAAGAATGTACTGGAGAACGAAATATTATAGAAACATCTACTGGAGAAAAATCTACCGGAAAAGAATATACTGGAGAAGATTCTACTAGAGAAAAATGTAGGTACTGGAGAAGAATCTACTGGAGAATAATCTACTGGAGAATAATCTACTGGAGAATAATCTACTGGAGAAGAATCTACTGGAGAAGAATCTACTGGAGAAGAATCTACCGGAAAATAAGGCACTGGAGAAGATTCTATTAGAGAAGAATCTACTAAAGAAGCGATTGTACCAGAGATAATTCTACAAGGGAAAAGTGTGCTGTAGAAGAGTGTACTGGAAAAAAATACCTACAAAAGAATCTTCTATTGATAAACTGACACCAATCAAATAAAAAGAAGAAAATTGACATTATCGCGCACTTCAAACGTATTTTTTTGTTTGCCCATCACCGAAAACACCCCATTTTTGTTGAAGCTATTTATTTTTCGTGCGAAAATGGAGACCTGCCAGTGCGACCTTTGCGCCGCGGCGGTGAAGAGAACCACCGGGTTCCGCACCATCGGCGCCTACAGCGTGGTGAGGCGGCACGAGCCCATACCGTACCGCGTGCGCTGGGGCAGGAGCCGGGTCGATCCGTTCAAGAACCTGAACTTCGGCAGGGCCATCGTGTATCCGACGGGACCCCAGCGGGAATTCGACGGGAAGATCTCACCCAGGTGGATACCGGCCAATGACTTCGTCTCGCAGAAATCCGTGGCGCAGAACGAGAACAACGATTTGCTGGAGAGGCCTTTTTGAACGGTGGATGTACTTTTTTGTTGTTAATAAAATGAGCCATGATTGAAATTGAGAGGTTAATTTAGGAAAAGTCGGTTAATAAATCCAATAAAGCGGATATCGATGAATGCAAAACGAGAAAAACCCGAAACTTTTGGTCCGTTTTTTTATCTCCTCTCCTGTTTCGCCTTTTTGGAATTTTTCTCTCTAAATGACTGTCGAAAAGCCGAACGGAATATTCTTCGTATTTGCTTTCCGGAGAGGGAAAAGTAAGTCGCCCGGCCGAGATTATCAAGTCGAAAGTTGCCCGGAAAACTTTTAATGAGCAACCGGAAACAGTTGTGGAAAGGCAAAAAAGTTAATATTTTATTATTAGCTTTTAACTAATGAACGCGAGCCGAGTTTTCGCGCATCGTTTTGCCGGAAAATCGCGCTCCGCAAATCCTTGTAATAATTCTTAGCTAGTTGTTTATTAACAAAAGCATTACAAAAATTATCATCTCCAACTTCTCGTCTGTTGCTTAAATTACATTATGGTATTACTTCCCGTCAGCGCGTTAGCTGTTTAAGGAACAATTGTTTAGGCGGTGCTAGATTAAATAGGTGAGATCGATTTGATTCTGGAGGAGGAAAAAATCCGAAACAGTAATTTCCCTTAGCGACCGAGAAACGATTTTAAATCCCCGCGCGACACAAAAGAAAAATGCAATTAGGCTAATGCGCAATCGACTTTCCTCTCTCGGAAGACTAAAACAAAATGCTAATCGAAAGCAATTTGTCGTAGAGGAAAATGTTTAAATAATTCAAAGAATCGCGAGTAGGAGGCAGTCGGGTCCGGGGCGATGCCGTGATGGCGTTCCGGGGATATCGCCGGAGTCCCAGATAAGCCTTGAATAACGATTCACAACGTGGAGAGTATGTAAATACCAGAAGGACTGGATAAGTAATGAGCAAGTGATTACCTACCCAATCTCCGAACGAACGAGATTCCAGGTTTCGTTTTCCGTTTGGAAATTATACCGGGGAAATTTCGATATTACGCTATTTTTAAGTTTGTTATCTATTTAGGAGAATACATTTTAATATCTTCGACCACAAATGTAGCGCATAAATAACAGCAGTTTGGGGCGCATTAATTTCCCACTTGCAACCATTACATTTATCTCAAATTCCGCATATTCGTAATTAATTACGTCCATTTCCACCCCGCAGAACAAATTATAGTAATAACCGTATTGGCAACCATCTTGACTTTTCCCCGTTAAACTCGCGACTCGATAAAGCTCGTAAAAATAAATGACGCGGTTAGTTTTTTTTCTATAGTACTTCACTTGATAACTTCTGTGCATTTTCCGACGCTCGTTTGTTGCTATATAATGCAACACCTACTGTTCGTGAGATAATTTTCGCGCTTGATGTATGAGGATTCATATTTTCGGGAAAAATCCTCGTTTTTCAGTTCGCATACACTTAGCGCCTTCCATTCGAATCGGCGAGCCGAATTTATTGGATATTATTACGTCTTTCCGGGCTTTTTACGGCCGCACCTAATAAATCCGCGCGAAACACGTTGTAGTGAAACATCCGCAGCGTTTCCGCCTGGGATATAAAATTTGAATAAAAACACTTAAATCTGATATATGCGCCCCGTATCGGCTTTCCGACACTTACATACGTATTTTTCGATACCCAAATTTCCCTATAAAATTACAAATCTTCGCTGTACCTATTTTTCAATAGAATCTTATGATGATAGAGAGCTTAAATATACCGGATCCGTCTGTGCTGATGTGGACATAAGAATAATGCAAGTGGAAGAAAGAGTTTTTGAACTGTCCAGAATTGTTTAGAACTGACTATAGGATCATTTGAGGAGAGGACAGTTTTGGACGATCTTAGAATCACATAGAACTGTCCAAAAACATTTAGAACAGATTCAGAACTCTTTGGAATGGTGCAGGATAAATATAACAGTCTAGAAGTACTAAGTTAGAACACTTTCAATTTGTTCAGGACAGTTTTAGGATCATATAAAACTGTTAGAACTGTCCAGCAATATTTCGAGCCATTTTAGAATCGACTAGGGCCATTTAAAAAAATCAAGAGGATCTTAGAATCACATGGAACTGTTCAAAATCATGTAGATAAACTATAACTAAACTATTTTAAATTGTTTAGGACGGTTTTAGGATCATATTGAACTGTTAGAACTGTTCACTACTATTTAGAACCTTTTTAAGACTAGCTGGGATCATATAAAATTGTTCTGTAGGATCTTAGAACGATTTAGAACTGTCTATAATCAGTTAGAACCAATTCAGAATTATTTGGGTTAGTCCAGTGTGAACTATTATGAAATAGTTTTGAAACATTTAGAACGCTGTCATCAGGACTATTTAGAACTTCTCTTCGAACTTTTAGAAGACTATTTAGAATTTTTCAACTAAAAAGTAGTAAAATATTCCTAAAAATGATCAAATTTGCATAAAAAAACTTGTAATCTAAACGTGTCTATCCTATGTCCACATCACCACAGGCAGACCCGGTATATTTCTGGTGGAACTCGAACCCTTTATTATAAAAATGTAGCATTTTACCATTTCATATTGCTTCATCTAGATCTCCAGTGATGTTGGAAAAGCCATTTGCAAAACCGTGCATAACGAAATCAGATAAGCCGGCGCGGTTTTTTTTTGCCTATTTCGTCCGGATTCCTGATAAATGACCGCGAATTACTCGCCTGCATTAATGGAGACCCTTTCGAAGGAAAAACAGATCGCCGGCGTTTTCACGCACAATGGCCCCGGATAAAAACGTTTCTGCGTTGTTACGCGCAATTTAGCGCGGATCGCCAGATTTTTATCGATCGAATATAATGATCATTAGCCCGATCGGAATCGGAATCGGTCTAGAAAAATAAAATAATTTCGCGTCGTTACCAGTACCGGTACTATTACCTGCGTTGCATACAGTGATGAATCGATTGCTGGTTACAGTTGGGGTTCTTATCGGGTTTCTGGTGCTCGTTTGGGGGTTCGAAATATTCGTAAGTTTCCTGTTAATTCGCAAACGACTTTTATCAAGTCACTCAGAACCTAATAAACGTACCATTCAACCATATTTGCCCATTTAAAAGCACCTAAATTTGCATCCCCTTTTTAACCCAGGCATTCCAGTCACGAGAAGCGATCCAGAACCAGCTTGGGCCGTTTACAATTACCTAAAAAACGGAGGCAATGTTTCGCGTACACATAGTTTTCCCGTCGGCTGCACGTAGCTCGGAGGAGCGGCGCCCCTGCCGCCCCCTTTCGCGCTCGAATCTCGGGATAAACGAGCCAACTTACAATCTGCTCTAACACCCTCGGTAAAATATCGAAGCTTACGTCGTTCGAGTTCAGGAGTTTCGCACCATCCGAGATAAATTCATAATGAGCGCCGTAAAGTAAACGCCGCCCGGTTTTCTTTTCCGGATCGCGAGGGGCGCGTTTCGGGCGGTTAATGAGGGAAAAATCGGTCGGGAAAATAAGCGATGGAATGAAATGGAAGTCGGAACCGTCGCGAATCAACAACGCCCCGGGCGAGTTTGTTTTTTGCGCCCCCTTTTTTTTTTCGCGATAAAGTCGTGTCTTCGGCGAGAAACAGGAGCGATAAGCGATGATGCGTGTCAGAGGAGGCGCTGACAGAAGAAAATTCCGAATCTATTTTCTTCATTAAAGTTTTAGTTAATAGGCTAGTCGGAAACTGTTAGCGTAAAAATCAATTTTCGCAGCTTTTTTTTGGAAGAAAACTGCAGGTGTACAAATTGGAATGTTGCGATTAATACGATTAAATTTAAATCAGGGGATACTATAGGTATTAAATTTGTTATCGAAGATCCGTCGGTGCTCCCGAACTAAAAGTCGCCGCTCCGCTTGAGGGACGTTAATTTGATAAGGCAAAGTTAAATGAGTTGTCCGGAATGAGGTGACTAGATCGTTATAGGATGGAATGGGACACTTCAACCCTTCTTTCCCAATTAAAATTCGAACTTCCATTTCGCCCGCGTCTTTTATTTTCGTCGTTGTATCGATTACCTAAAGCGAATCGAACCTGCCAACTTCTTTTTCGCTTGTAAATAATTGCAGCGAGTCAGTCAGCGACGCTTCCGGTGTTAGAGAAGCTTTTGTATGGCGAAAAGTCGCTTTACAGCGTTGCATTATAGCTAGTGCATTTATTTACGAAATGACCGGTTTTTTATCTCGAGGCCTATAACTCCTCTTTACTCCGGCGAACGTATAAGTCATAGTTATTTATAAGTGAGGGATTCAATGTCGCCATTAATTTTCTTCATCGTAACGCGGTCGTATTGTACGGAGGAATCAAGCGCTTTAGTTTACGGCCGTGTAAAATAAATTGGTTCGAGGCGAATTTACGTTTTTTTTTTTCCTTCGCCCGATGCCACCGAAAATTTCATACTTAATGTAGGCGCTTTCTAATTATTTTTTGCGGAATGAAAAACTAACGCGAACTTTCGCGATTTTGCGGATGAATATCTTAAAAGTTCCGCCTGTTTCCTGACAAATATTTTACTTCGCTTCGAATTTACGGTTCTTGCTCTTTTATTTCCCAAACTTCCTCCGTTAAAATAACTCAACGTATACTCGGATGAATTCCCGCTTCTCCCAGCACTCCTCGCTTAATTAATATACACACATTTTACACATATACTTATTGAGACATTGTTATCAATCAGTTAGCGACGGTTGCGGATTTATAGTGAGTTATTGCAGGGAAAGAAGGAGCGCATTTTGCAAATAAAAAAACTGGAAAACTGCAAAGTGAAAAGAAACTGGCCGATGTCGTGGGAGAACTTCAAAATAACGACGCGCAAAGATACCAAAGAGAACTTCATGAACCTGGACTTGATAGTCAAAGAGGAAGTTTCCATGGATTTCTCGGTACGTAAATCTGCATGCATTCGAATCGCGAGAAACCGACGGGAATTTTGCGCGTATACGCCAGATAATTTAATATTAAATCGTAATCCGTCACCGTCGTAATAGATCCCGAAACGCTTATAAATCCCACTTGCACTCGAATTAATTAAATAAAAGCCCCGGAATAAGCCGCACCTCGGCCGAAATTCGCGAAGAACATCCACGGGCGCTTCGGTGTTAATCAAAATTTCGCAATTAAAAGATAATTACGACGAAAATCCCAGCGCGATTTCCGCCCGCGAAACGTTCCTTATATACGGAATTTTTCCACACAAAACGACCCCATTAATATCCCCATATTAATTCATAACAGTAGAAATATGTTAGTTGTTGTTGCCGCGCATTTTTGCTATAATCTCGCTTTGTATAAATTATCTAGTTAATAATAGGTCGGGATTCTTTTGTATCCCACTTCTGATTACGCGCGAGATTTCTCCCGCCGCCCGAAATTCCCGTGATTAATTGTTATTTTGTCAGGACCGGATTATTAATTTACACGTTAACATGCTTTAGAGCTTTAGCTGGTTATTAAATAACCCAAAAAAACACATACAGGGTGTCGCAGAAAGGTTGATGAATTAGAGAGATGTTGATTAAATCTAATTTAAACGGGAAATAATCCTGCTGGATCCGAAAATCGAGCTCGCGGAGCAATCCCGATGCCTCACCAAGTCTTTATTAGCGTTCGAGTACACAAAATTAGTTTGAATAATTGTCGCCGGTGCGATTGCGTTTCGAAATTTTCGAGCCCATAATTCACCGTTGTCGCGCAGCCGAAACTGCGGCGGTCGTTTTTCAAAATCGACTTAATTAGATACGTCGCCGATAAGTTAATTAGTTAGGGAAAATCGTATTTAATGACGTTATTACAGTCCGACGGCGCGCGTTATCGGTCCACGGTAATTTTAATCACCGGCGACCCGCGGACCGTGTCAAAACGGTTTAATTCAATAAATTCCATCAATATACCGTCGATGTTTCGATAACGCGGGCTCCGCTAATCCGACGTTTAAATCCATCCAAATAGTTGCGTATGATATTTTTGCAGATGTCGTTCAGCTTCCTGAAGTGCGACACGTCAGGAAACCCGGACAGTTGCGAGTTTTTATTCAGAGACACGAAAATAAACAACGTTTGCAAATATTTGGCGATGAAGGACCAGTCGTGGAGCCAGTTCGTGGAATGTTTCAATAAGGAATTGAAATGCCCTATGAAGCCGGTAGGTTTTCCGATTATCGCTCTCGTATAACGGCGAGAAGTTAAAAATATAATAGCCCGAACGGTAAAAAAAAAATCAAACGTCGAGTTCATTTCCTCGGGAGCACTTAAAACAAATGAATTAATAACTATCTGGCAAAAGGTCCTTCGAATTATCTTCTTCGTTTTCTCGCCAGGATCTAACCTTTCGATGCACAGATCAGGATTTAGTATACCTAATAATTTCTTTCTCTAATAACAAATTACTGGCATCTTACAACATCACTACTTAACTTCTCATAACTTCAACACCAAGTGTATTTGTACACACAACTTATGCTATATTATAGATTATTTTTGGCGAAGTAATAGTGTATAATTTTCGATTTTCGGAAATATTTCGAGGCCCGGCCTGGCAGTGCCTCGTCGACAACTTCCGAAAGCAGTTAACAAGCACAATGAAAGAAATTATGACACAATTAGAGTAGGCCTTAAATTAATTTGAATAATTAGTGGAGCAATTAGGGCTACGTGAACGGGAATTTCAATTGCGAGTTCGTTGTTTTTCTTTTTTGCACGGAACAACGACAGCGAATGTAGTTTTTTTTGTCTACTCCATTAACGGAAACATTGATGGGATCGTTGATTGGTATTGATTCGATTTGAATTTTTTGTATCTTAAGTAAAAAGTAAGAAAATGAATATAGTATTAGGTAGGATTGGGTATTGTTAGAAAGGATTGTTAGTATTCTCTCCAATTTAATTTTTGCTATATCTTCGGTTATTTCCACCGTGTTATCTACACAAAAAAAGAATCCGAAATCCAAGTAAAATCCACATAGGATTATTAACTTTCGGCGAGAATTTTAATATCCACAGTCCTTTAATAAAGACCGTAATAAAAGGATGTCGCCGGTGAAAATCCATTTGGAATTCCGACCGCCTCTCCGCGGAAATATCAACTATTTACAAGTAAAATTTGTCGGCGATAAGGCGTCGCGTCGCCGCGAAAACAGGTAGGAATAAATACGGGGGAAAATTAGAATGCAAAACGTCCGGGCGATTTTTCGGTTAAACTTTTCGCAAAAATGCTAAAATTCCGGACTTAATTCGCGCGAAACTTCTCCACCGGCCGGCGCGCCGCCTCCGCCGTAATCTCTTCAAGGATTCATGAAAAATAAATAAACTCGGACTCCGCGGGCGGCGCGGCGGGAAAATCGCGACGGCGAATCGCGAAAGCTCCTTATCCCCGTCATGCATAAAGGTCCCCTAATAAGATGAAAAATCAACTGCGTTAAAATTAACGCTCGGAAATTGAAATGAATTATGCAAAAAGTGCGAGAAGGCTAATTAGTTTCGAACTTTTGATCGTTTTCAATTTTTACATTTTGTTAGGTACTTCTAGAAATTTTAGACTTGCAACCGAATAGCAAAATATCAAATATTTTAATTAAGTAATTGAATAAATTCATTGCAGTATTAAGTTAATACTAAGCTCACCTAAAGCAATAAATTTATCAATAATAAATCTCCAACCATTGACTATTCCATCTTCATCATTAATAGGAAACTCTCACAAAAACTTTAACAATATTTCGCACTGTTTACAAACGAAATTTAACGCAGTCGATTCGCCCGTAATCATATCTGAAATCATAACTTTACTATCGGTTAACGGGCGCTTATATCGCACGTAATATATCCCCGGGAAAGCGCTAAACGGTCCGTTTTTGATGGGCCACTAACCCGGCGAAAATTATCGTAAACATTTTTATATTACGGGGCGTTCGGGAAATTTAACGGGACCGTTCGACGAGTAAATCATCCCGGTTTCGTACCGTTGCGTTACGGTTACCGCGGCCGCTTTAATTGCGCTCGAGGAAATTAATTTTCGCGCGTAAACAAATTAGAATATTCTACAGCTCTCAAATAAAAGTTATATAGACTGTATATGTAGCAATAGAGAGAGCTTATGCGAAAAGTTTTGTGATTTTTGTGTATTTTTTTACCAACTAATTACACTAATTTTTTTCTCGCGTTTTATGTGGAATTTTTATTCCTCTACAGGTGCGTAGTTATTTTTCTGTTTCAGAACACCTACCATCTGGACAATCTGATTATAAATTCCAGTTCTCTGAATAAATTTCCAGTTCAAGACGCCGTGTGGAAACTGAACATCGGCGGTTTCGATAAAGGGAAGAAAATTTCCTGCGCCGATGTCGATATTAAAATTATAAGCGTTAAAAAGAATTAATTTATTTCACAAGAAACCACGATGTTAAAATCTTGCACGTACTGTAAGAATATATTTTTTTTAGTTCAAATAAATTAGTTGTCTGTTGTAGAGTGGAATTATTTAGAGACTTTTCCGATGCAAGTTTGTACCTGGAAAGTACAGAGAAAAAAAAACAAATTTCGATAAGTTTTGGGGACGTCGTTAATCGTCGACAATACGAAAAAATAAAACCGGTGGAAAATTTACGAGCGGGCGAGGAAAAAAACCGGGGGAATACGCTTTCCTTTCCGTTTTCCCGTCGTCCGATTGTTTAGACAAAAGACGTAAATCTTCGCGTGCGGATTTACAACCCAACTTTATACGGTACTTAGTCCGCACGTAAAGTATTTAAAAATTGAAATTTCCCGAACGATCCTCCTCCGTGTCGCCCGATTTATTTATATCATTCCTATTTATTTCCATCATTACTATTCATAGTTGTACAAAAAGTAGAGTAATCGACTCGCTGCATTTTTACTTGTTTAAACGGGTGATTTGGGGAAGGAATTTAATGAGGAGCTCACGTATTTCATTAAGGAAAATTTATTTACTTCCTTAAAATCAATGATTTATATCTAGGAATTATTGCCAATTTCTTAATAAAATTAGTTAATTAAGCAAATATGTTTGAACCATTTACTCTCCTTATATGAGAGGAATTTATGTCTTTAAGGGAGTCAATCTACCAAAGAGTAATTGCCAATTTCTCAATAATATTAAATCATTTGCTCCACTAATATGAGAGTAATTTTTGTCTTTAAGAGAGTCAATTATCTACCTAAGAGTAATTGCCAATTTCTTAATCAGTTTAGATAATTCTGCATATATGATCGAACAATTTACACTTTTAATTTGAGAATAATTTATCTCATTAAGAGAGTCAATGATCTACCAAAGAGTAATAGCCAATTTCTCAATATTTCTCACTTACTTTTAAGAATAATTAAATCTGCTAAGAGAGTCAATAATCTACTCGGGAGTAATTTCCACAACTAAAGATTTGAGTGCAAACGTGAGAGTACAGATGCCATTTTTTTTCGTTGTTTAAATGGATGTTTTGGGAGCGAATTTAATACGGGGCACTTTTAATTCGAATTATAAGGGTCCCGTGACACATTTCTTTCATTAAGGAAAACTTTTCTTCTCCGACATTTTTTACCGCCGGTCGTTTTTTAGGCGAACAAGTTGGGACCGGTTTCGTTGGGGGGTGGAACCGGTGGAGGGCGCCCCCTGAAAAATTAGTTTTCTTTGCCGGTCGCCTCGGGCCGTTTGGTGAAAAATGCGTTTCGTCGAAAATCCGAGAATTAGCGATAATTTTCGATGAGTTTTTACTTTCGCGTAAATAGGGGCAGTTTGTGACGTGACGTACCCAATTATTTAGTAAAAGCGCCGTATACACAACGACATTAATGGCGCTAATGCGATTAGGGCTCTTAATGGATTTCTGGGGGCCCCCGGTTATTGACGTTTTACTTAGAGCACTCGCCCGCCCATCCGATATTCTTCAATTTCCCGATAAATAATTGTCGACGAAACCGCGTGTTTCGTGAACAAAAAAAAAACGCGAAAATTTAATAGCGAAACGAGCTTGCAACAAAGGCGAATCAACTCCTTTATCTGCGTAAAAATTTAAATAATCGCAGAAATAATTTCCAGATAATGGAAAATTCCAATAATCTTGGCGAGCATCGACCGGACGGGGCGAAAAAAAAAGCGACGACGATTGCCTACATTTTCTTCTTTCCCTTTTAGTAAATGGGCCAGAAATATTCAATCAATTCCCATCAGCTCAATAAAATATCCCTATTATACCAAAAAAAAAATAATTAAAGTGGCAACTCTGTAACTATCTAATACAAATTCTTTAAACTATTCTCACGATTACAAGTCATTATTAGTTTATAGTGAATGTAGGTAAAGTTTTTTTTTGTGAAAAAAGGAAATGGATTTTCCGGTTGAAAATTCCCGTCCCGCCGACTAAACTCCCGAATGAGGATGAAAATAGGCGGTCGTTCGACCACACTTTTAATGCGGCATGAATTCTATAGTTGCTCTAACAAAAGAAAACCCAATAAGAAGAATTTCGAGGCGAAGCATCTGGAAATCCATAAATACGGAATGAATTATTTATTCCCGTTGGGATCGCCTTATTTTTTTTTGTTTTCAATCTCGATCTGACTGAACGAAGGCGTTTTTCGGCTATTGTACGAACAAATTTTTGATGAATTAGGAATTGATTTTTTCTACAGATTGCTACACGCTTTTAAATTGAATAAAAATGTTTGGATATTAACGAACAACACTCTTTATACCCTTTATACTCTTTTTGTGCTCTTGAACTGCACTCTTTATACCCTTAAATACACTAATATCTTTGTGCTGTTAAACACTCTTTTATAACCTTCGAAAAACTCAATGAATTACAGGAGTAACTTATAAGCCTAAGTGAGGCATGGATCCACCCAAAAGTAATTTCTTAATAATAGTAAATCCTTATGAGAGAGTCATTTAATCCTTCAAATTTATGTTCTTAAGAGAGTCAATACCCTACCCAAGAGCAATTACTAATTACTCAATAAAACTAGCTCAATTGTGCTATCATAAGAGCTCAATTTAAGTTGCTAAAAGAGTAATTTATATGGGTCAACGATGTGCCAAAGAATAATTGCTATAACAAGGGATTTATAAGCTATACACAATTTCGAATTTATTCGATTTATATTGAGCGATCCGTTCGATATCACAGCTTTGACCAGTGAATTTAATTCGTTATATTCACGGGGATGTACCCAGAAAAACCGGGATGATTCATTAAAGCCGGTTTTAACGCGTCGACGGTTTCGATATGCACTCGATGCCGTTTCCACCGGAAAAGCGGAACAATAATATTTGCATGAGAAAATGTTTGCGTGCGGGCTCTAACCGACTAAATAGCGGGGCGCTCCCTGTACCGCGTAAAAAATAAATTTGCAGTTTTGCCGGCGATTCGCGGAATGCAGTTTAATAAAAACCGGCGCTTTCTGCACAGCTGTTTTTTTTGTTTGCTGAACGCCCGAGAGATCCGTTGCGAATAAAGTCAATTGGATGGAAAAAATATTGACCCGGCAATTAACAGGCGAACGCCACTTATTTTTATAGAGTGTTTTAATTTCTACCGAATAAAATAAATAATTCCAAT